GTGTGTGTGTGTGTGTGTGTGTGTGTGTGTGTGTGTGTGTATCTCATTTTATAGATTCTAAATATCATTATTGCAAATATGCTTGTATTTTCCTCTGTCAAATGGTAAATAATTGATAAAATACAATAGTAAGACCAAAATCTTCAATTGCTGACTCTTTAGTTGTTGTTTTTTTTTAATTAAATGTTAGATTTTTGTTTCTGCAGAGATAAGGGGAAAAAAGAATTTATGAACAAATTTTCACATATCCAATTTTATTAAGCAAGTAAAACTGTTGTATCTTGAGTCCATACATCATGAGATCAGCTTGTTCCTGATGGTGAAATGTAACCAAAAAAATAGCTACCATAGACGTTGGGCAATAAGAATATCTGTCTAGATGGAACCTGTCTGTGGGAATGGTTTCTATCAGGATTAGCTGACAGAACCTAAATTAGCAACAACTGTGTTCACTAAAATCCACACACTCGCAGTGCAAGTGTTTGACCAAACGTGGACAAATGCTCTCAAAATTATCTTCCACACGTCCACTCCCAGTGTCATCGGATGAGTGTTAGTGCCACCTCAATCAATAGATAAGCATACAGTCAGGGTAAATGACTATAATATCGGCTAAAACAAAAGAAAAAGTACATTGACGTCTAAGGGAAGATAAATCAGTTTATTTTTTAAAGAGTCTGCATTTAGATTTGTCATATTTTTCCTCACTGTAATAGTTTTTTCTCTCGTTTCTTCAGGCGCTGCTGCAAACGCGGAACGTGTCAGCTGAGGAGGCGGCCATGTACTACTTCAACAAGCTGGAGAATGAGGTGCCCATAAGATAGCCTTAGTCCGCTGCAGGTACACCTTGGTACATTAGACCTGGTAGAGGTTGTCCACGTTTAAATCTTAGTGTGTCTTTTTGGTTTCTCTTATGGGCAGGAGGAAGGCGATGATGACCTTTTGTTCAAGATGGTGTTTGTGGTTAATATGGACCTTTCCATGGGTTGTGGAAAGGTAAATTCATCAGTGCCCATGAATATATAGTGTGACTTGTGTGTGTGTGTATATATATGTATATGTACACACACTATGCTAGATATTGTGCTCATGGTGTAGTCTCCAAATTTATCTACATGAAGCTGTGAAGAATTTTAGGGCAAAAAGTCCAGACTAGTTTAAAATTCAGAACTAAGCGAATTGGACCATTAACAGTGCATATATTGTGTTTGAATTAGCTGGCATAGACGGCGCGTTATTGATCCGACTCTTTGTTGGGGCAGGTGGCTGCACAGGTGGGCCATGCTGCCGTGGGTCTGTACCAAGCCCTACAGGAGAGGAATAGCTGGAGGGAGATGGCCTGGAAGTGGGACCACAGTGGGTAAGGCCCCTTTACGTATCTGGAGGAAATCGATTAGCAAACCATGTGTTATATTTCTACTGCTGCTCTTTTTTCCCACTACACTCACTATTTGTTAAGATTGCATCATTTGTGAGTTTTGAAACTTTCCCGAGGAGTTAAGTCCATTCACGTTGGCCATTTTGAGAAGGATGCTTGCATAGCTGGCCAGTTTCTGCTTTACTGTTTATTCATGCTCTGCTTTTTTAATTGGTTTCCCAGCAGTATCTCATTCTTGGTCTTCTTTGTAGAGCTACTTTAGTAATTGATTACAGTTTCCAAAATGCAATATGTTAGCTAATCGTGTGTATCACTATTAATACTAAGAAAAAGATAATCGGCCTGAATTTGATACAGAGCCAAGAAGGTGGTGGTCCAAGGCACCAACATGGCTCACCTGCTGGAGCTGCAGGCCCTGGCCATGAGTCTCAACTTACCTACTTACCTGGTCCAGGATGCAGGACTCACCCAGGTTTGTGACTGTTGTTACACTCAAAAGGTTCCAATAAGCCGGCTCCACAATATTAGTCTGAAGTGCACTGCCAGCGTGTGTGAGAACTGGTCATCTGTCTCTCCTCAGGTGGAGTCTGGCTCCCGCACCGTTCTGGCTGTCATGGGAGAAGAGGAGACGGTGAATAAAGTCACCGGCAGTCTGAACCTGCTCTGAGGGGGGTCCACACCTAGGTATAAGGGCAGTCAGAGCTCTGCAAAGTTGTATGACAACCAAAGCAAAAAAAGAGACACTTACTGTGCATGAGTGCAGAAACCTTATAAAAACAACGGCGAACGATGTTCGAATAACCAGAGAAATCACCTAACAACGTCAAACAAACACTCATTCCTTATCTCAGCTGCTTAGTTGACTATTAAGAGCTGTAAAGCTTATTGTGTTTGTGTGTGTGTGTATATCACACAGTCCGGTCCTTAAGCATCAACACGGTTTGAATCTTTTTGGCTCTAAAAACTTCCATGATGGATTTAAAATAAAAGAATTAACATGTGCTTCAACTGGAGAATTTCAGCATTAATTTGAAGGCATTTGCATCCAAATCAGGATATATATATATATGTGTGTGTGTACGTGTGTTTGTTTGTATATGCCACCCTAAACAGTGGACACTGTTACAATACCTTTTTCAAAAGAGGAAAAATATTCAAATCCTCTGGTAAGAACTTCTGTTAAGTCAAAATGTGACCTTTTTGCTGGGCCGAGCTAATTCTTGCTACTTGCAGGGAATATTCTTTTAATTTTTTTTATGTACTTCCTTAGTTTACCTTAATAAATGCAATTTACTATTTGCTTGACAGAACACATAATTCTGCAGTACGGTTGTGAATATCTTTTCAGTTATGACATTAATACAGAAATAATACAGATTACCTGTCATTTCCACATGTCACTGGCTGTTGCTATGCAGTTATGCACATAATTAAACGGTTGTCATTATCATGAAATTTCAGTTGTAAGAGAAACGTCCAGAAATATCCGCATTGTACAGCCATCCGTCCATATTCCTAAGCATTGTACATGCAATATGAAATGTATGTTTGTATGGTCTGTTGATAATTCAGACTACAGTGATAATTAAAATAACAAGACACCTGGATTGTGTTACCTTTATTAACTCTTAACATGCATAACACAAATCAAAGGGAATGCGGAGGATGGAAGAGCAGAGGGTGACCTTTTCACTTTGCGGCGTCATGTGTCCACTTACTAAATATAATCTAGTAACCTTGTGAGATATTGGCTGTGTTTTAAAAAGGGATCAACACGAGGCTAAAAGACTTGGACCCATAAAATAAAAGCCTCTATTAAAGGTTCCGGTGTTATGGTTGGCTTAGGCACTTTTAGTCTGAAATCTAATACCATCCACTGAAAAGAGTCATGAAAATACTCAAACTAAGATCTTCCAAAAGTCGTTATGTGGTTAATTCTGTAATCGGCCAACCAACCAACTCTGCACTCAAGTCAACAAAGTCACAAATGTATCTGATTGCATCATCATATATAGAAATTAAGACAGTTTGTACTGATTCCACTCGTTTTTCCTTGGAGTTCTTTACATTTGTGGATTCCACACAGCCATAGCTTGATGATTTGGTGTAATACAGTAGTCTGTTATCAACAAATACACATTAACCAACACGTATCCTTAAAAACATCTCAATTGATTTTTTTTAAAAGTTGACTATTTATGGTGTACAGTGCCAGAACAGCCAACTGTGACACATAGCAGCACCGTTATTTCCCTTAGGAATATCTTTTCATTATTTTGCTTTTTTAGGCAGGTGGTTTAGAGGTGATTTTTCCTCAGATTTTCTGTTGCTGCCGGAAAAAACGGGGAAGAACCAAATATACACACATAGTTATGCACCTGAGGAGAAGGTTAATATCCCTGTTCTGCCCCAACCAGAGCGATAAATATTCCCATTAATCTGACATTATCCGTAGGTGGGGCTGACCCGGTGGGCTAACGCAGCCGCTGGCAGCCCTGGAATTGGGCCCCAGAGACCCCGTGTGGCTAACGCTTTCTATTACGCTACGGTTAGAAAAGTCCTTCCACTGGGAAAGAAATATAACTGTCGCATAAAAACAATAATCCCGAAGCAAAATTCAAAATAGATTCCATGGATTTGGCATTTAATAACGAGTATTTCCCACAAATTGGAAGATGTTGTGTCCGCTCTTGGAATAGAGTCGTCATTTGAGTCCACTTATCCTCGTTACCGCCTCGCCTTACCCGCTACCCAGACAGTTATATAGCAGCAGAATGTAACCGTCGAACCAGTCCTCAAAGCAGCCCCCACCCACTATCACGTATATGAAGAAGATCACACAACTGACGCTATCATTTACCAATAAGGTAAAGGCATTTGTCCTACGTAAAATGATTGACAGGTCATTGTCGAATCAATGGCGATAGGGAGGTCTCAGCAAGGGCCGCCCCAGGAGTTTGCCCTTGCACGGTCGCTAGGGAAACCCCGTGCAGTGATTGTGTGTCAGTTTCTTTGGGCCTGCGGTCGATGTCGGTGATGAGGGGGATGGGCGCTTCAACAAATGTTAGGAACCGACTTTGAATCGGAGCCCCGTATCACCTACAGCAGCGTATACCCAATTATAAACAGCGACTGTAAATATGAAATACACGCAAATAAATTGATATACTCACTGGGGATCTATTATAGACACTCAATGGATGTAGTGCACCCGAAGAGGACTGGAATTTTAACTTTCCGCTGATGTATGGGAGATAGTGAGAACTTTGTTTCCGACCCTTGGAGAGGAATCTACTTGCACGGGCAAAAGAATACAGGAGACTCCGAGGCCGATATAGAGGCCTATTGGACTAATTGAAATTGATGTTGGAATACTTCAAGGACTTACCAGTGTAAATGAGTGTCGTATTTGTACCAGTTTGGAATGAGGCATTAGGTGAGTACGTCTGTATTTAGTGATGATATCCCCATGTACATATAACAAATATGTAACACTAACCAACCATGTTTTTCAACCACAGCAGCCAAGCTAGCCAACTCAGCTAGCAAGTTACTTCGCTTCGACTTAAGTTTAATAGGACTAGTTGGTTGGATCACCAGTGTTACCACTTTTAAGAGACTTATTTTGTTTATTACGATAACTATTAAAATTGTGTGTATGGCTTTGCAGGGCTGATTTGGGCTGTGTCTGCACTGTTTCTCCGTGGCTTTTTTTTAGCCGTCCCTCGTGTTGTGTTTTTTGATAATAAGATGTTTCATCCTTACAAGCGACCATATTGTTAGTTTGTAATACATATTGAATTCTTATTTTAAGAAACTCCAGCCCCGAATTGCTCAGTTGGGTCCCACAAGTATTAGTTTTTCTCAGGGCTATATTTAGGTATCGTGGTTGCCTTACTTTGTCGATATGTGTTTTAAAAACTACAATTCGAATCAGTTGTCTTCTGTAATATAATACGTGTGCAGTTAAGATAATGTATTTTGACGAAAGAATAAAAAGCTGCAAACGAACGTCGTTTCGAACCATTAATAAATCAAGCTTGGTTTGTTAAGTAAGTTTCCATAATGTATTCACAAAGGAATGGTATACCCTCTTAATACATTTGACACATCAAATGGCAACACAGTAAAACATTATCCATTTGATCTCGGGGAAATATTTTAGGCACAAAGTTAGCATACAGTTGAGTGGAGGACATATATTTATTTCCCCTCCTGGAGTCAGAAGTTTAGGAATATGCTGTACGAGGTAAACACAAACTGGATTCGTTAGCCCGACAAAGTGTTGCGATTGTCTGGTGTTATTGGCAGACGTTAGTGTTGGATGCCGTTCATTGTAAGCGAATCTGTCGAGTATTTTGGAAATGGTTGGTGTCACCTTCTACAGTTTGGTCCTTTTTCAGCTACTCACAGCTGAGCAACAGCTAGCAGACGAGGCATTAGGCAATAAATGCTATGCTAGCTTTTTAGCCAACTTTGTGGACGTTCTTCAGGTTGCTTGTGTGTCCGAAGTTGTCGTCAGTGATTAACTTACAACCTGAAGCTTTTACTATATGTCCACTGAGCCCTTCATCCCTGTGGCTGCCTGGACAAATCAGTTTATTTACCCTAGGAATGTGTTGGCTGTTTCGTCGTGGTGTGTCTTTACATGGTGGTCACAGACTTGTCTTTGCACAACTTTCATAGCTTAAAAGTTTAGATTTTCTCTGTTTTTTGTCGTAGCGGGGTTTCTGTGGGAGATCCAGGCTGCTCAGGCCAGAGTTGTGGCTTTAGTGACTTGCTGTTATTCACCTCCCCCACCAACCAACCCCCAGCTTCTGTGGCGGTTAAGAGAAATGGGTGGTATTATAGAGGAGAGCTCTTGATTCCTTTTTTAGCCTCCATTTTTTGTTCCCGGCTCTGAGCAGCATTGCTGATGAGAACGTCGGAATCTCAAGTTGTCCTGTTTTTGTTCAAAGCCAAGTTCCATGTCCTCCGTGTAGATTCCCGGCGATTTGTGTCGAATTGTTTTCACACGAATACCTGAACGAAAGATGCCATTGCTTTAACGCGATCTTTCAGTCTTAGAATCCGTCCAGGTTCATCTGGACTGTCTTGCTAGATGCGAATCTGTTGGAAAGGTTACGCAACAACTTCTATCTATTTAAGTTTCTTCCGTCTATTTTCGCCTTTAAAGCAAACGTGGCATGTAGTTGGTGTGAAACTGCTCTTAAACGAGGGCACTCGGTGTTTCTGTTGCTTAGCAGGGGTTTGTGTTTTCTGTTTGTGTTTCTCTGAGCATATGCGTTCCCAGAGCAGAAATGGCCGATCTGAGTGTTTAGCACCGCGTCGGCCTTCAGAAGGACGATCCTAGAGTGCACACCGCACACGGGGGGGGGGGGGGGGGGTAGGCTTTGGTGTGTGTCTCTGGATGTGTGATTATGACAGCATTTGCATCCGTGTTTGCTTTGTCATTAAGCAAATCAGACATATTTGTCCTCTGACATCACTCAGACCAGTTGTTTCACTGTAGCAGGGCAAAGTCTAGTTGATTAAAAAAAACTATTTTATGGCTTCAATACTTATTTTTCGTTGTTTGTTTTCCTTAGCTAGTTTCCTAAGTTGACCTAGCTTTACCATACAAAGATCCCTCAGCTCACTACCTGGTGCTGCCCGTATCTGGCCTGC